GCGGAAGCTCAGTCCTGAGGCACTTCAACAATGCGTTCCCCTGGAGGGGAAGGAAGTCACCCTTTCGCAGGAGTACTCCGACGGCTTGGTCAAGGAGATGCTCAAGGCAGTCAGACGCACCGCTCAAGAGCTACAACCAGCACGCTTCGCACCTCGCAGGGCACACCAGGTGCTCGCCAACTTCGCCTACAGCGAACCCGAGCCCGACGCGGCCGCATGGAAGCCAATCATGGAACAGGTCAAGGAGTTCTTCACCAGAACCTCCCTCAAGACCACGCTACTCAACCCGCAGGAGATCCTCTACCAGGACATTCAGCGACTTATACCGTGGAACCTCAACCGACTGCAACTTGCTTCTACGCCCATCACCTTCAGACAACCTGGAGACGTACCTCATACGCATCGTGGAGCTGTTCTGCTCTACGCCGGGGATGAAACTCCTACCATCATCTCCGAGGACATCTCCCAGGTTCACTTTCCCCGCGGGAGATTTTCCAGAGCTGTGGATGTGGGAATCTTCTTTTCCGGTTTTCCCAACACCGTTCAGGAACCTACCTCCAGGTCAGCAAGTTCGGCTTCCTCCAGAACCGCAACAAGGCGAGAAGTTCCATGGTGAGGTGACCTTCCCTGGAGCCGATGGTTTGGATCGCAACGCCAAGTTCGCGGTTTCCAGATTGCACCGCAACCTCGGCCACATCAGCGGCAAGGAGCTCATCAAGCTCTTCACCTTGAATGGAATCACCTCAGATGTCTTCATGAAGCTTTGCAAGGTGATGGAATGCGAGACATGCAATAGAGCAAAGGGACCGTCACAACCGAACCCTGCAGCACCACCACAGTTCATTGGACTGTTCCGAGATCAGGTCCAGATGGACATCGTCTACGTGCGAGACCTCACATCGCGCAACCACATTGTGCTCGGCATCATCGACGAGGCCACGCACTTGCACGTTGCCATTCGCATCCCATCACGGACCACGGAAGCCATCAGACACTTTCAAAGCTTTCCGTACCGCTTGGATTACACCTTTTGGCGCGGCGCTCATCCTTCGCACAGACCCAGACGGATCTTGGGGCGGTGAGTTTGCCGAACAGCTAGACGCCATCGGGTGCTTCTTCGATCCCGTGCCCCCCGAGGCTCATCATCGCATCGGGAGCATCGAGCGGCACAACCACCTCCTTCGCATCATCATCGAGAAGCTGGTGGAATCTCAGGGATGCGTCACCGAGGAGCACTTCGACAACATCATTGCGGCCGCCACCTTTGCAAAGAATAGCGGCACATGGTCAAGCGGACGGCCGCCTTATGTAGCAGCTTTTGGGCGCATTCCGAGAGTGGGCCTCGACTTCATCAATGACCCTCACTCCCTCACGGCCGGTGGCACTCTCGGAGAAGCTCAACAACAAGCGGCGCTACTTCGAGCAGCAGCTATGAAGACCATTGCGGAGACATCAGCTTCAGCAGCATTTCGACGCGCCATCCTCCGCAAGACCAACAACGAGAACACCGACAACCTTGAGCCCGGTGCTTTGGTCGCCTACTGGAGATGGACCGTCAGGTCTCACCGGAAGCGCGGTGGATACCGCATGGCCAGGTACATTGGTCGTGATCCAGATCGATCATTGTGGGTGTACTAACACCGTCAAGGTCGCTCCCAACCAGATTCGATGAGCCCTTGGGTATGAATCCTGGACTCCCTCACCTGAGGACATGGCCAAGCTCCGGCAAGCGCGCGGAGAACCTCCGCAACGACGAGAACATCGAAGACGAGACACTACCTCATGCACAACCATCAGAAGAGATGGAGGACCTCGACGACCTCTACGTTCCGGACACGCCTCCACTTCTTGAACCACCAGCAGTCCAACCGCTAGTACTAACGCAGGAACCACCTCATGAACCACCACCGCAGTCCGTGATCAACCTCAACGTCGACAACCAGGTCAGTAACACCAATTTGAATATCAACCAAAGCCAGTTTGGAATATCACATCACCTTGATCTACCACCAGTTCCCTACTCCGGCACGACGCACTCGAACCCCACGGGCTAGGTCAAGGACTCCACAACCTCGTGTTCCTCGACCTGAACCTCAACTACCACTACCAGACCAATCGAGACCGTCATCGGCATCACAACCTCTTGCTCTGCCCCCTGACGGAACCGACTTGTCTGATCCTCAACTACAACTACCCGACATCGACAACGACCCTGATCAACGAGCAACCCCATCAGCTTCACAACCAACGTCATCACAACCTCATGCACCACAACCACCTTCCTCTACCACGACCGCAACTCATCCTATCAATCCAGCACTTCATCCTCAAACACTACCAGCGCAGCAGCAACAAGTCGTGGATTTGATCCCGACACCGCGGTGCCTACAACACCACCGGAGGTGCACATGGACGAGCCCCTTCTACCCTCAAAACGTCCATTCGACGCACTTCTTAACGGCACTATGCAAGCCAGACTCGTGCAGAACGGCCAGTTCGAACTCCACAACTACGAGCCGGCACCTTTGAAGAAGCTCTCCTCACGAACTACCAGCGTAAACCTCAAGGAGCTTCACTGCTGGGCACGACTCGACGTCGACTCCAACGAGTACCAGCAGACTATGTCATCCGGACCGCCCTGGTCACGAGTCTACTTTCGACGCACCATCGATGCCAAGACCGGCGAGATCATCAACCAGAGGCACCACAGCCAGAGCTGGACACACAGCTGCCTCAAGCTATGACCATCATCACTGAGCTCTGGCACCTTCCGCAACCTCAAGAGTGCTACTTCGTGGGATACGAGGACGGCATCATCCCTATGGAAGCTGGATGGGATAGCGGACCGGAGACCGCCTCTCCCATTGAGTCGAGCACCTTCTTCGACGTCTACGCCACCAAGCTCGCCAGAAGCGAGAACGACACGACCACCACGATCAACGACGACTCCGACGTCGACCTTGAGAACATGGCCTACGGCGAATCGCCTGCGGCACAGCTAACGCGCCAGCAGGCCAAGGCCTGGAGAAGGAGCTCCCGGTTTCTCAGATAATGACCATGCCCGAGAACAACATTCACGAGTTCGTCAAGGCAGCGGTCAAAGAAGCTGACAGCTGGGACAGATGGCATTGCATACGCCCTGTACCACCAGCAGAAGCTGAGCGAATCCAGAGGGACCCTCAGCTCCGGAAGCGCATCATCACTGCCAGATGCTGCTGCCGGGACAAGGCAAAGGGGAAGCCACCCCTGAAGGCAAAAGCTTGGATGGTAGCACATAAACACCTCGACCCCGACATCAGGTCCCTGTCGAGGAATGCTGCCACACCCACTCGCATCTCCGAGATGTTGCTCCTGGCGATCTACACCAGCGGCGCCCCTGTGGACTGGAAGAGCGGCAGAGCCACTCGTGTGTGCAGGTCAACCCTTGCAGCAGAGGCAGTTGCGGCAGACTCAGCGACTGACAGAGTTGCCTTCACCAGCCTCAAGCAGTCTTTGCCTCTCAAGACCCAGGAGGAGATCACCCCTCGCACCGTGCACTGGATCCCGACGACCCTCATGGCGGCGGATGGTCTCACAAAGGCCTCCAAGCCACTTCGGCAGCAGCTGCTTCAGTGGATCCAGGAGCCCATCGTGCAGCTCCGCAAGGAGAACTGAGAGTCATGGACCCGAGCCTTTTCGACACGGTCCTTTCTTCATGGCATGAGCCTGAATGGCGATGTGCCAAAAGAAAATAGGATCAGTGACAAGTTTTTGGCCACTTAGCCTCATTGCGCTTTGGCCGTTGACACATCGCATGCATCATGTGAACCTTGCGGCTCGAAGGCCCATGAGCTGAATGCTTTCGCAGCAAAAAGGCACCCGCCGCGCGTGTGCTGACACCCCATGGAAGTCGACCGACACTCGCAAGTCGGATCGATGAGACCACGAAGTTTCCACGAGGTTCTGCGAGGGCTGCGGGGTGGTGCGAGCACTAAGAAGAGCGCCGCATGCTGTTGGGGATAGCACCTGAGCTTATCTTTTGAGGTGCTACCCGCTTTTTGGTGATGGCGCAGGTGGCCTTTGCCGGCTTTGGTTGGAAAATTGGTTTGACGATTCCTGGTTTACCTGATCTACCCGGGGGAAACCCAGCTATTTTGCAAAAAGGACACCTATGCGTGATCGGGTCCGCCAGCATGTTGGCTGGGTGGTTCCTCTTTTCAATTGGATACCAGTTTTTCTTTTTTCTTTTTAGTGTTTCAAGGAGACCAAAAGGCAAGCCACCCTTTGTTATTTTTGGGGGCTGGGGGGAAACAAGACACACTTTAGCTGGGCGAAGGGTTCCTTAAACTTGGGGCTTTGGGGAAATCTGTCCCTGGGTTTAAGTCTACCTTCAAAAAATCGAAGCCTGGAAGACTGCTCTATTTTTTCATGACTCATGACCTTCAAAATGGTGGCTGTCCTTTTGGTTCTCCTTTACCACACAACAGGGTCCCTCCAACCGCGAGTCACTCATTTCTGTGATGCGCAGCCTTGGGGGAACCGTGTGACAGACCGATTCCCCGGCCTTCCCTTCAACTTTCGATCCGCTTACAACGACCCAAAGGGGTGCCATGTCCTATTTTCGAGGGCCCGCTTTGCGGGTTAAGAGAGGCCAAGAGGACCACCGCCCGATTTTTCGGGTTCCCCTATTTTGATACATACCCGTATAGAAATCCTGAAATGGGGAAGCAACCCCATTTTCCGCAAGTACCCGCCCGTTTGTATTTGTTGGAACGCTGGTTTGCCAAGCTAGATACCTCCTTTCCTAGTCAACGATTAACATCATTCCCTACCATACCCTGAACACACAATCGCATCAAGCTCAAGCGCATCAATGCATGCTGAGGATGGACGAAATCCTGCACCTCTGAAGAACCCTGAGAATCATGATTCGCCTGTAAATGCAAACAAACAATGGCTTCCCATTGTTCAAAGTGGCACGAAATGGATTTCGTCCATCCAGTATGCGCAGCAGCCCTTAGGTTCCCTGCAGATCCGCAGCGTGCAGTGCCTCCGCATCTTCGACGGCGCTGCGGTGGCGGAGACGCTCTGCGCGGCCTATCCCAAGCCAGCCGCGACGAAGAGCTGCGACTGCGCGGAGCTGCCGTGCAACGGGAACCTGACGCACATGTGCCACTGCCAGACTATACCTTTTTGGGTGTGTCTTCCCCCAACAAAGGTTTGTTTCCTCTTGGTTCCCCCTGACAAACACCACTCAAGGAGTACCATCAAAGAAAGGCACACCCTCTTAAAAACGGTTTCCATCCCTTGACCTTGGCACGAAGTTTCACTTCGGGTCTGAGTCAGAGTCCGGTCAAGGTGCGTGGCGCCCCAAGGCGCGGTGGAGTTGGTTGGGTGTTGGGGGGAGGGGTTGGTTGGACGTGTTGCAGGGGGGGCTTTTGCAAGGCCTATAGAGGGTGTGTGTGTGTGTTTTTTGGTTCCGAACAGTAAAATCAGGTTTGTGTTTTTGTGTAGCCAAAACGCAAAAAGGGAGTAGAATAATCCCTCTAGTAATAAATACACCCCCTAACAGGAGGCGGAACAACTACTAGGGTACAGGGGTATCATGCGGGTTCGGCTACGGTCCTCGTCAAAATGAGACCCTCCCCCCCTGCCCAAAATTGTCAACGTGGCAATTTCCGCGTAAGGAGTGTAAAAAGAAGCTGACATCATTGAAATCTGTGCTGAGCCTGAATGGGATGAAACTTGGTTTAGTACGGGTTTAGCATTGTGCCCCAAATACGGCTGTCGCTGGGGCCGGGAAATTCGATTTGGGGCCAGGGAACGTCACTTTTATTGATAGGGTGCATTTATTAAGAGGGAGGTGATCGTTGGTATTGGGTGCGTGGCCGGGACTTGCGGCATTGGCATGTTTGATTTGAAGGGCGTTGTACCTTGATCAACTCATACTTGGATGCTCGACCAAAGTGAGTTGGGCCGGTTGTAAGTAGGCTACCCAGGTTTCCAACCACTTACTAACTTGGCGAATCGAGCGCCCACCCCATTGGGGCCAGACGGGCATGGCGCGAGTTCCAAATGTGGACTTGGAAAACCCGCAAATTGGTTTGTCTCAGTGTAAGGGGGGGTGCTGTTTCCACTTGGTTTCTTTTTGAAACCAGCAAAATGAGCACACACCCCAAACAGAGACACCCAAATAGGACAAGACAAATGTGCTCGGGGGGGTGGTGGGGTCTCAAAACGGAACAGTTCGAGAATGGACACCAACAAACAACAATGCATTTTGGTTTGGGCCAAGTCGGAGTGACTGGCCCAGTGGCCGGTGAACCAAATGAAGGTTTTCAATGAACCGAGACGCTGAAGCCAGGTCTTGAGACCCCGGATCCATTGGAGCGGGTCCAGTGGAAGTCCTCAGAGGTGTCTCGGTACCTTCAAGATTCACTTACCGTGTCAGTTCCCAGCGGTCCGCTTCCTTTCGAGTTTCTAGGGTTTTTAGGTGTTGGGTGGTTTGGTTTCCATCTTAATTCACAAGTGAAGTTTTGTGGCGGATCAGAGAACGGACAGCCCAGCCAGGTGTTGGTTGGTAAACTCGCCTTGCGCAAAATCAATCGAGACTGAACTTCTTCTTTTTTGTTGGGCGTTTTTGTTTTTTGGGGCCACACCCAGAATTCTAGGGGACTGCGTTTTGCCCAGGGATCCTGCAATCTGGGCCCCAGAAGGGCCGATGAAGACATTGGACACGGAATCCGCTGGTTGAACATCTTGGCTTCCGGCACATTGGCGGTGGCGTTTGCCCTCAGGTGGTTTGGCCTCAAGGGGCGGCTCCCCATGGACCCCCAACAAGAGCCAGAGTCCGGTGCTCGCAGTCGGGGGCGCACGGCGCGCGGCACGCTCGCGTGCGCGCGCGAGCCAAGCGTCGCCAGGCTGTGCGGCGGACGAGGACTTGGACGTGGACTTCCTGGACCTCGGGTGCTATGAGCGCGTGGCGGGCCACGGCCCGCCGGCCGCAGCGGCGACTTCGGCCTATGACTTCACCTGCATGAGCTACAGCGGCGCCTGGGATTTGGTGAAAAGCCATGGGGTCTCAACCTAAGCTTGTTGCTTTGTTTTCCCAGGCATCCCGATCAGCGGGATTTTGGTCCCAAAACAATATAGACACTCCCAGCAGGACATTGGACCGGCTTTTTTGGGCGTTCAAAGTTTTTTTTTCCCGGTGGTTTCGTGCCTTTCAGGAGCAGGGCACGGGGGAGCAACGGAGCAGTAAACAAGGGGGTGAAGACAGCCCCTCCCGTCCACGGGCATGGAACCTGACTGAGGGGTCCTGGAAGAAGGGACCCCTGGTGAGTTCCAGGTTAGTGGACAAGACAAGAGGGTACCCATCCCCCAATTGATGTATAGGGAAGGGTTGCAATCATCGCAGCAGGGGGAAAGCAAACTACCGGTATTTCACGTGGAGAAGGTGGCCGAAACCTCATCGGTTTCATGTTGATCCCCTCCAAAAGTCGTCGCTTTGTTTTGGCTCCAGGGACGGTCCTGAGTGGGAAAACACGTTTCCAAGCAGAATGCCTATAGCAAGCGAAAACAAATGCACACATTTCACGATGCTTCGGAGAAAACTGGCGCTCAACTGTTCGGCTATAACCGCATGTTTGTCCACAAGAAGGCATGGAAAAAGGTGGTTAAGAAGCTACTCAGATTTTTCAACACAGCGGCCGGAACACGTGTTTTCAGGCTAAATTCCGAAGCCACCAAAAACACGCGCGCGCGCGCTCTTCACGGGGTTTCGGAGCAACTGGCGCTGTCAGCAACTGCCCAGCTATAGATAAACGCGCGTGTGCCCGCAAGAAGGCTTAGACGAAAAAGATGATCTGCACGGTTTCCAGGTTCGAAGTGTGGCCGGTTCACAACCTACACGTGGCGGTTCACCAGCTGCACGGAAATGTTGCAAAACAATGGGAAAACATGTTTCCAAGCAGATTTCCTTGAGTCAACGGAAGACAAGTGCACACATTTGACGAGGCAGCAACTGTTCGGCTAGAACTGCATGTGTGCCCGCAAGAAGGCGTGAAACAAACTATGTTCTAAGTGTGGTGGTTCACAAGCTACACCGAATTGTTTCAACACAGCGGCGGGAACAAGTAGCCAATACCCACTGCGCGCGTTTCACGGTGCTTCGGAGCAACTGGCGCTGTCAGCAACTGCCCAGCTATAAAATAAATGTGCGTGTGCCCGCCAGAAGGCTTAGACAAGAAAGATGATTTGCCCAGTTCGCAGATTCTACTGTGGCGGTTCACAAGCTACACGTGGCGGTTCACAAGCTACACGGAAATGTTGCAAAACAATGGAAAAACATGTTTCCAAGCAGAACGCCTGAATCAAACAAAAACACACACACACATTTCACGATGCTTCGGAGCAACTGGCGCTGTCAGAAACTGTCCGGCTATAATCGCATGTTTGCCCACAAGAAGGAGTAGAAAAACTATGTTCTAAGTGTGGTACGTGTTGTCGAGGAAAAAATGAAAAGCAGTGAAAAACAAGCGCGCGCGCGCGTTTCACTATGCTTCGGAGCAACTGGCGCTGTCAGCAACTGTCCGGCTAAATCCGCATGTCTGCCCACAAGAAGGCATGGAAGAAACGATGTTCTAAGTGTGGTGGTTCGCAAGCTACACAGAACTGTTGTAACACAGCGGCGGGAACACGCGTTTTCGACTTACATCTCCAAAACAGCCAACAACAAGTGCGCGCGGTTCACGGTGCTTCGGAGCAATTGGCGCTGTCAGCAACTGCCCGGCTATAAATGAAGGCGCGTGTGCCGGCAAGAAGGCCCAACAAAGATGATCCGTTGATAGCCGGCAGTCGCTGGATGTGCTTTTATTCTGTTTCAGTGCTGGTTCCATTTTTAGGTGGCGAAACATCATATTTGCTTGCCAGACGTTCTATGTGCGGTGGTTTCCGTCACGTTCTAAGTGTTGTTGGGCTAAGGTTCTAAGTGAGCTGTTCAGGTTCTAAGTGTGGTGTTTCCGAAGTAAGTGTAACGTGCCCGCAGGCAACATTTTAGCAAAAGTTCTAAGTGTGAGAAAAAACACTTTGGAAAAAACAGGTTCTAAGTATATGTCTGTCGCTATAGTGAAACCCCAGACGACAAGTGTCAGAAACCTTCAGGAACGATATAGTGAAACCCCAAAAACGATAGCTTCCCGTTCGACATCGCCCAAGTAGTCTTAGGTCTTGCCGCTTGCTCATTTCCAGCTATGGGTTTGGAGGTGAGGTTATACACCATATATATATAAGCGGTATATAGTGCTGGGCCATACAAGCTTATGTTGGTGGCATATAAGCATCCAGATTCTGCAAACCCCATTCCTGAAAATGCCCTTGGAGGTCGTTATGTGGCTTTTCCATCCCGAGGTGCTGTCCCCTGCAAGAGCGGCGTGCCTTTCTACTCTATGAGGAGCGGGATGGCACGGGCAAGGGGAATTGGGGAGAGGTTGGAAGCTACCCGTTGTGTTTTTGTTTTGGTGTGTACGCAAATACTCAATACATATATAAGCATTTTTTTCACTCTCTCTCTCTCTATTTGTCTCCATGTACATATACACATGTGTATATCTATATTGCAATGTTTTGTTTGTGTGTGTATGTGTGTACATACATTCTCTCTGTATATTGCAATGTTTATTTTGTGTGTGTGCGTGTGTGTATACATGTATTCTCTCCACGTACATGTATACAGCTGTATACATGTATATACATATATTTATTGCAGTGCGTTTTGTGTGTATACATGTATTATCTCCAGGTACATATATACATGTGTGTGTATATATATATATGTACTGCAGTATTTTTTGGGTGTGTGGGTGTGCATACACATATATGTATATATATATATACATATACATTTCTATGATCAACAAAGAAGTGGTTCAATCTTCGGCTGGGCGATTTCATCGCCGAGGTATTCCGGGCAAGGAAGGGGCCGATCGAAAATATCAGGAAAACCGCGGGTGTTGACACTCACCTTGAGTCAAAGGACAACAACCCAAAATCCCGAAATTTCCTTGTTTGACGGCTTGAAACATCATCTGTTTGGAGCTTTGAAAGTGTTTTCCCTTTGGGTGATGTTGAAAGGGGTACTGTAGGGAGCCCTGAACACCAGGAACACTCCTTATGGCTTATCGGTTACAGGCAGCTCTCCTCTTGAGGGGAAGTTGGCCAGAGGAAGCTGGAAGGCAGCTGGCCCGCAGAGAAGCAGATCGTGGTCTCCACATCCCAGTTGCAACCAGTGATACTAGTTCTTTTTCAACTTTTTTTTGGGAAGGGTGCCGATTCCTTCAAAGTCAAAAAAAACCAAAGAAACATCAGATGCCGATCCGGAAGGAGTTCCTTTCCTTTAAAGCCAGCCAAACCAAAGCCAAAAACGCTGAGGCCGAGCGTTTTTTCCCATGGAAATCAATCCACTCTGAGTTCTATGGTCCGGTCAGAAATCCACTCTGAGTTCTATGGTCCGGTCAGACCCGGGACCCGGCAGGTTTCAAGTTGGCGTTTAAAAAGCCTGGGCTTTTGCTGGTCAAAGTGCCTGTAACCCTTTGGTTTCGATGGGTGGTGGTTTTTGAAGCACTGGAGAGGGTAAATGCGAAGCCGTCCCTAGAAAAGCCTCTAAACCAGCAATGCAAAGCACCAAATGGAGGGAAGCGGAACATGTGTATTAGTGGTATAGCATAGCTTCAAACCGCCTCTCCCTGAAAACGCCCTTGGACGCTCCGGGGTGCGCGCAGAAGCCACCCAAGAAGGGGCTCCGATTGCCAAGAAGAGTTTCCTCTACAAATGGTGGGTTTTTTGGGTTCCAGGTGAATCTGGGGAGTAGGGAGTTTGGACCAGCATGAAACAAGGTTCTCATTCGATGGTTTGTGTGGGGAGGCCTCCAACCCCAGCCCCGCGTCTCGTTCCAACACTGGGCCATGGCGGTCCTTAGATTCGCTTTTTGGGTTCAAAGATCACCCCGTGGGCCAAATTCAGTTGACTGTCTCTCTGGATAAAGTTTAAAAGAGGCATATAGAGGGCCCCTCTGGGCGGTTTCCCTGAAAGGCCTCCCCAACCCGAATTTGCCGCATGTCAGGAAACCAGAAAACTTGTTGATTCCGCTTTCCGCTTAGCACATGTCCAAAGGGCGCTGCTCTTTTCTAGGGCAAACCGAGTTTGGAGGTTTGGTTTTCGACGAGTTGGGGTTGCCGCCTTGTTTGAGCCGTTCTTTCCCCATGCGAAAGTGATGGGCAGGAGCAACTCCATGACGCCGCCGATGTGCTACGAGTTTTGCACCGGTAAGGCTTGGGCTTGGAGGGCGAGCGCGGGGATAGCCACCTGGGGGATAGGGATACGGACAGTCTGACCGACCAGACGTCCGACCGCGGACTTCATGCTTTTGGGGAGACCAGTTGTTTGGTTCGCAAAAGCAAGTCGACTTTGTGGTAATTAGGCCTCCACTCCAGGAATTGAGGCAGGGACTGGCCTGTGGGGGGGAGAGTTGTGGGGAAGAATAATGTGGGGACAATCTGTGTTGCGACCACCATACCTGTACCAGGGTATTCACCCAAAGACAAGGCAGATATTTCAACAGGGCTCCTTAAAAGATCTCCACTCTGCCCATTTGAAACGTGGCTTTTTCCGCCAGAATAGAGGGAGACCGCCATTGACCAGTTGCAATGTTCGATCAGTGCTTCTATTGCATCCGGATCCCTGCAATGGTGGTGTTCTTTCCCTTCCCTTTAAGTAATTTTTGCTCAGGTGAGTCACTTGCTCAAAGCCCGGTATTAAAATGGTCGTCGAGCCATGTAATCAAAGCTGGCACCTTTGGGCTCACAAAACGCCCGGCGCCAAGAGGCCAAGACCTCGGGCACGGCGGGCGGTTCCCAGCGAACCGTCCGGTTCCTGAGCTCGTTTTTTGTTGTTGTTGGGGTCGGTGGGGGTTTTACCAGGCCTATTTGCCGCCTCAAGAAGTAGACTTTTAGCAGGGCTCTGAGGACAGCCCAGGTTTGGCAAGAGGTTTTTGAGCACTTCCATGTTTGTTTTGCGGTTGGGTATGACCAAGAATCACCACCTAGTCTGGGTTTCGATTGCTGCGGCGGGTTTTCAAAACGAAGTTACCACCTGCGAAAAGTTGGTTGCTTGCAGGCGTTTGGTAAAACTGACCCTTCCTTGGTCTCCGAAGCTCTTTTTGCATTTTAGCGGATACTATAAAATGAAGCCGTCATTTTTCAGGGACCCAGTTTTTGTGGTGTTGCAGAGTGTGGGCCAAGTTGAAGTGCCACCCTTCCATTTGCCAGGCTAGGTTTCAGGCCTGGCAGTCTAGCACATTCCGTTGCTCACTGTTTTTTTTCTTCCCCGAGCATCCAGCAGAAGGGGTTCATGTAGGGTCAAGCCCCTGATCGAGGAAACGCCGAGGGTGCATAAGCACCCTCAAAATCAGGACAGCTGCAGGCTTCTCTTTTGGCCTCCAAGTCAAAGCCATCCAAATCATTAAATCAGGGGGTCCATTTGAGAGACTCGCATTTCCCCAGCTAGGTAGAGGAAACTCACGTGAAATCGTTCGTCAAAGGCTGGCATCTCTCATCTGGGCAGTTTGGGTCCACAAAATTATTAAGAATCCAAGCATCCAAAAAAACACTGCAGGTCGGTCCACTGAAGAATCCGACCATCAAACAAAAACACTTCGGGTCTGACCGGGGTTGGGTCAGTTCGCCCGTTTCGAAGCTGAGTGGTGCCCGCGCGCAGGGTCTGGACATCTTCGCGCTGGTGGACGACGTGGAGTGCCGCTGTGGCGCCAGCGCGGTGAACCAGAACGCCCGGGCGCACCAGGTGCGGATGGCGAGCGGGGGAGTTGGGAGGGGGGGAGTGGAGGGGAGGAGTCTTCGGGAGGGGAGGGGGGGTTGGTTGCTTGTTTTGGTTTCATGACTGTTTTCTTTCTTCTTCTTTTTTTTGGGGGGGGGGGGGGGTTGGTTGCTGGTTTTGGTTTGACGACTTTTTTTTGTGGGGTGGGAGGGGGGGTTGGTGGCTTGTTTGGTGGTGAATTGACCTATCTGGGAGAGGGGGAGGGTGCGCGGTAGGTTGGTGTGGGGTTGGTGGGGTGGGGTGGGGTGGGGTGGGGTGGGTGGGGTGGGGTGGGGTGGGGTGGGGTGGGGTGTGGTGTGGTGTGGTGTGGGGTGGGGTGGGTGGGGTGGTGTGGTGGTGGGGTGGGGTGGGTGGGGTGGGGTGGGGTGGGGTGGGGGGTGTGGGGGTGGGTGGGGTGGGGTGGGGTGGGGTGGGGTGGTGGTGGGGTGGGGTGGGGTGGGGTGGGGTGGGGTGGGGTTGGGTTGGGGTGGGGTGGGGTGGGGTGGTGTGGGGTGGGGTGGGGTGGTGTCGTGTGGTGTGGTGTGGTGTGGTGTGGTGTGGTGTGGTGTGGTGTGGTGTGGGGTGGGGTGGGGTGGGGTGGGGTGGGGTGGGGTTGGTTGGTGTGGTGTGGTGTGGTGTGGTGTGGTGTGGTTTGGTGTGGTGTGGTGTGGTGTGGTGTGGTGTGGGGTGGGGTGGTGTGGTGTGGTGTGGTGTGGTGTGGTGGGGTGTGGTGGGGTGGGGTGGGGTGTGGTGTGGTGTGGTGGTGTGGGGTGGGGTGGGGTGGGGTGGGGTGGGGTGGGGTGGGGTGGGGTGGGGTGGGGCAGGGTGGGGTGGGGTGGGGTGGGGTGGGGTGGTGTGGGGTGGTGTGGTGTGAGGTGGGGTGGCCTCAAGAATTGGGGGCCCACGGCTGGTTTCATCATGTTGGCCCTTTTCCGAAATGTTCCCCCCCCCCATTCAGGCCACTCCACTGAACCACCACAGGGGGGGCTAAACAAACGTCTCCACCGTTTAAACAGGCTCCAAACCGTTTCAGGGCTCCGACTCTATTTGCCCGTAAAGGGTGGTTTTACACACCACCTTTATGTTCTTATTTTTTGTGTGAGTTTCCTGTTGGTGGGGTGATGTTCAAAGGGGAAATATAGGGAACCCGGTGTTGCTGTCCACCAAAGGGTTCTGCTTGAAGAATTGAACTTTTCGCAACCTCCTTTGGAGAAATCGGGGGACATGGAGAGGTGGACAGTCAGCACTTGGACTTCAATCTCGCAGCCCTCACTTTGAAGCAGAGCGACATGGGCATGTGCCCCCTGCGGGTCTACCGCTACGCAGGCGCTTTCCGCCACGGTGCTATGTTCCCGATGTCAGGGTTTCGAAAACTGGATATGACCATATTGCAAGCCACCTTTAGCGGCTGTATCAGAGGGTTTCTGCATGTACAAGGCGATGTTTAGGTGTATTTTTCAGGTTTCCCTAAATGTAGGTGTGTCGGCTTTGAGGCTCGGTACCCTTTGAGGCTGTTTTGAAGGGAAAGCAATGGAAATCCGCACGACAGTTTTCCAAGGGCCCTCCCACCAACTAGCACGGAACCCACCAGAGGGTCTGTCCGAGGAGAATGGTCCACACTAGGACAATGATTGTGAGGAGGGTAGAGAAGATATGCAATTCCGGGCAACCAAGTTTCAAATCAGCAGAAAGAGTAGCTTGGGGCATTTTTCCAACCACGTTCAACAGTCGCCGCTTCTGAGTTTGGACACTTTTGGTCCTGACCTTTTTGGATGGTTCTGCAAAACATTGCAAAACTCATCTTCCACGATACCCGTATTGTAATCCAAGCTGTCGCGGTGTTGGGAGGTCACCTCAGCATCAGCGGAAGAAAGGACACCGCAGCGTTTGCAATGGGAATTCGTAGCAGTAGGAGTAGTAGTCTTAGTCGTAGTAGTAGTAGTAGTAGTAGCAGTAGCAGTAGCAGTAGCAGTAGCAGTAGCAGTAGCAGTAGTAATAGTAGCAACGGGATTCGCCGAATCGAGTTTTCGTCCATAACAGCCGCCTTGAGTGAACGAAGGGAACCCTTCGGCTCAGAGGACCACTCCCACCTGCGAGAGCAAGCGTCCGTACTCCTCACTGCTCCGGAAGGCCATAGCTAACCTAAGAGTCACAAAACCGTTCCAGGCGCGCGCCACCCGCATCTGATTTTGTTTGGTTTTGAAGGGCGGTGGATTTGGGCGCCGGGAGCTGGTCGGCCAGGCCACTACGAGGAGGGCGGGGTGCCCTACGGGCAGACGCAGCTGCTGGAGGAGGACCTGCGAGTTTTTGGTTCATGTGGCGTTTGCTGCAAACCACCAGCACCCGGAGTCCGACTCTCTCCCTCTCTCTCTCTTTCTCTTTCTCGCTCTCTCTTTCTCTTTCTCTTTCTCGCTCTCTCTTTCTCTCTCTCTCTCTGTCTCTCTCTCTCTCTCTCTCTCTCTCTCTCTTTTTTCTCTCTCTCTCTCTCGCCTTTGTCTTTTAGGGTGGGTGGTTTTAAACATCACCTTTAGGTTGGTACTTCAAAGTAATCTTCCGGAATTGGTGGGGTCATGTAGCGCCGGGCACCATCTGGGATGGATGAACCCCGATTTCAATACTGGATAAACCACCGAAATCCAATTGAGTCATAATCAAAACCTGGCATGACAATGGTCTACCCAGAGCCATGTAAAGAATTGAAAGCCACTCATGACAGGGTCGGGATTATCCCTTGCTAGCCCCACCTACCCAGGTTTTGATTGTGGCTCAACGATGTTGTCCATCCACGGTTTGCAGCCAAACCTCCAACCATCCAAATGCCACACACTTTACCTCAATTCCTGAGGTTACCTAGTCCACACCCGAGTTGATAGGTTTGGGGCAAGTCCCCTTGTCATAGATAGGTGCAGGTTTAGACCAGACGATTTCAAGAGATGGTGACGAAAGAACCAGACCCTGGTACTAAAAGTGGGACTGGGATCTCTGAACTGAAATTATTCCATGTGAGGTTCAAAGCAAGTTGGCGACCAGAAAACCAGCGCGTGCTACCCTTGGCCAGGCCAAACGAGGAAAAATGCAAACCTCTCTGGGGGTTGGACATCCCAAGAGAAGCTGAGTAAACCTGGGAAAGGTTCACAAACTATGAGCCAACTCCACCACATTGTTTTTGGTTGGGGCAAAAGCCTCGTACTTAAAACGGCAACCAAAGGAGGTTTAAACATGGAGGGTCGCAATCGGAGTGCGAAGCGCTCTCCGGCGGTAGTAAAGGAGAGGCGAGATAAATTCACACTGCAGCTATAGTGATGACTACTTGGACCCCCTTTTGGGGGGCCGATTTCCCATATTAAGCCATAGCTCATGGTGAATCCCCCAGAAACTAGGGTTCATACCTATCTACATATATATATATATATATATATACATATGCGCACCCCCGCCCCCCCTTCCAAAACCCGCGCCTGCTGCTTGCGTAAAGGGGGTCAAGTCACTTTAGACAGATACTACCAAAAGTGGGCTCATTTCACAATTTTGGCAGACTTTCGCAGATGATTCATTAAGAGATTGCTACCCATATAAGTAATATTGGCTCTTGTACGTTTTGAAGAAACTGTCTATGGTATTCCTCTTGATCTTTCTCATACATATTCTGGTGATAAACTTACTCTATTCCAACACAAGTTAGTTGGACAATTAGCATCTTAAGAAAAGTGTGGTGCAGTGTAAAAGCGAAGTTAGGCAACGTGTCATAATACACAGGGTGTAGACGATAATATGTCATACATACATCTCGGACGTTTCCAAACATGGCAGCCAAGCAAAGCACATCTGCTGTCAAATAGAAATCGTGATGTTCTCTCAATGTGTCCAGATTATTGTTGTTTTGGCATAGTCTTCATCGCTAGTCAAGTGACTGGAAAACATCTCTGAGAGGGTACCGGCGCAAGTGCAACAAACAAAAAGGCAAACCATACCTCTTCTGCTTCGCCTACACATCTTCGATTGCTCATCTCAGCTAATGTGCAAATCCTGTGTGTCTGTCAACTTACAAACCTGTGTCAATACCCAAACCTCTTCCACGCATCCTCCATCTCTCATCTCGACTCAAGCGCAAATCCCCTTCGTCTGTCAGCTCGCCCACCTTGGCCAATGCCAAAACATCTGCTCACACCTCATTTGCCTTGACCAATGCCACGCTGCCTGCTAAAAGAAGTTCCCTGAGCAAAATATGTTCTGCACAAAACCTGCTAAACAGCATGCAACACACTGGTATTTACAGTGTTCTCAATATCCAAGGGTTGGCGTGGAATTTCTTAAGTCATTTAAAACAAACAACCACACGCACACACACACACACACAGTGCATTTGGCGAACTATCAACTGTATTTACCGCGCACAGGAAGAAAAGGAGAATAAGGTGCACACCCAAACAGGAATGACTGAAAGCAGACGCTTTAAAGCGCTCTTGGATCTAAGATTCAAGATTCAAGGTTCCCAGGACTCTAGATCTTCAGTCTTGAATCCAGTACGGGGCCCCCAAAACGCTTTAAAGCGCTTTGACGCGCTTTTATCATGGAGTCAATATTCAAGAACTAGACGCCTGGGAATCTTGAATCTTGAATCTTAGATCCCAAAGTGTTTTAACGCGCTTTAAAGCGTTTTGAGGGGTCCCATACTGGATTCAAGATTCAAGATCTAGAGTCCTGGGAATCTTGAATCTTGAATCTTAGATCCAAAAGTGCTATAAACGCTTTAAAGCGTTAAAGCGTTTAAGATCTAGAGTCCTGGGAATCTTAAATCTTGCATCTTAGATCCAACAGTGCTATAAGCGCTTTAAAGCGTTTTAGGTGGATAGAGTCACAGTCAAATGTCAGCAGATGCGGGCGTAGTTGAATGCTCAAAATTGGAGTGCCTGACACGGGGGTGGACATCACGAAAAAGGTACTGCAAAGACCATCAAATTCTCTTGTGACGTGGGTGTTTTTTGTGGGGTACCATATATATATATATAAACAAGACTTCCACTTGGATGTTCGATTCGCCAAGTGAAGTGGTTGATCGCCCCTTGTTTCTTTTTTTCACCCACTTACAACAAGGTTAACCCCACGGAACGGGGAACTTGTAAATGGGTAACCTAGGCCAACAATTTACTATCTTGGCCGAACACCCCAGTATGCTCTTCATCGCTCAAGGCTCCCAACCGGACTCGCGCGCCGTTGGTTTTTCGTCCCACGGATGTGTCCATGGCCTTCCTGCGGGACGTGCTTTTGGAAACGGGGCTCGCGGTGGCAACGGCGCGTTTTTTTTTCTTTTTCGCCCAGGCTCAATTGGTGGTTTGGGTTGATTTGGGGATTTGAACGGGTCCCTGGCTGTAGAGGGTAGATGGGGTTTCCCACCCCTCGGCCCACCTCCAAACTACTGAATCGGCTCCAAACCACCAAGAGGGAGGCTGAGTTGCGACCAGGAGGCACTTCTCGGGCTCGGCAGGCATCCCTCAAGTGAGCCACAATCAAAACCCGGGTTGATGAAGGTTAGTGCGGGGCAGTCCCAGCCGGAAGTAGTTGCGGCCGCGTTTCAAATTCTTTACATGGTTCTGGGTTCACCATTTTTGTACCAGGTTTTGATTGTGACTCAAGTGGACTCTTGAGGTTAAAAAAGAGTTTGGTGACGGTTTCGACAGGTGGCAAAAACCCAGACACCCGGCGCTGTCTTCGTTCCTTTTTTCGGGGTTGGGGGCTTTGCAAAAAAAAGCCCAACAAAGAAGCACGCCTGGGCATTTCCCGGTGGAACATCTTTTTCCGATGTTTGAGGACGAGACCTATTTGAAGAGCATCTTCTCAGGGCATTTGGTGACCCACCTGGAGGATGCCGCCGAGGCATTTGCCGAGCGTTCCAAGCGTGCGCCAGCCGTCCGATGGAAAAGGGGGGCCCCTTGTTCGATGAGAGCACCCGACACGTGTTTTTTTTTTTTTGCGTTTCAGATGGGTGCTTCCACCTGAAGAACTAGGTGCCCCAGTAGTGCCCTTTCACCAACTTCTATTTTGGGGAGGGTTCCCCTACTAAAATAGACTACAGAAAAAAGGGTGCTCTCATTCTAACCTCTCTACTGGAGGACCCAGAGAATGTTTCTTCTTCCCCTTGTTGGGTTTTACAGGGAGTTGATTACTGGACATGTTCTTTTTTTCCAGGGGGCTAAAGCAAATGGAAGGGTGGCTCGTCTTTTTCCGCAGTTGTGTACCAACTTTTTTCGTGTTACGTGCTTTTTCTTCTTCAGGGAAATCAAAGGGAAAACCGGAGCCTCTGAAGCGGCTCCGTCCCTCCCCTCCCTGCCCTCTCTCTGTCTCTCCCTCCCTCTCTCGCTCTTGCAATTCAGTGGGCGCTGATGTTTTTCTTTGGCCCGACCAGTTTTGCCTCCTTACTACACAGACCAAAAAAAAACACACCGCTCACTGCATACCCCGCTCCTGCTTTAGAAGGAATCGATTCCACTGCTGGACATATTTCAGGGGACGTATTGGCAGATGGACCGATTCGGGCTTCCTTTGGGACGGTCCAAACCATAGGTTCGCATATCCGTGCTCAACTGGTTGTTCCCACGGGTTTGGGAAGACATGGAGCGTGTCTCTTTTTGGGACCCACCACCCAAAACGGCTGCGGTTTTCGTTTTGGTGTCCTTTTGAGACCGCCAACCATGGGTATGAAAAAGAAAAGACGAGGCATCCCCACATAGGGAGGTGCATGGGTAATTCGGCTTTTCAGTTCATCGTGTGTCTTTTTTGAGTTGTTGGGGTTCTAAAAAGTGCCCTTTTGGGATTGGTCTAAACGGACACCAAAAGGACGCCGTTTCCATTTTGGGCGTTCCCGCCGCATTTTTAGACATACCTATATATCCTCACTCCCTGAATCCCCACACAGAAGGATCAAGACACGTAGCAGAGAGCGACCCACCCTTGGGTGTCCCGTTGAAACACCATCCTACTAAAGGAACGCATACAAACATCCACAAACTGCAGATGAGCAAAGCCCAGTTTGAATATTGGTGAAACCATTTGCTTAAGACTACTTTTTATTTTCCATTTTTGGTTTTACAGGTAATCTTTCACTACTGGAAATACATTTTATTTTTTCCAGGGGGCGAAAAAGCAAATGGAAGACCCAGTTCCAACGGGTGTTTGTTGTTTGGATTCGGCACCATGGACCCCAGAAGACCCAGACATCCCTCTCGTCTCGATGGCTTTGGTGCGACCTTAGCCTTTCTAGACCTGGAGAGGTCGGGCACGGAGGGAGGAGCGACTGACATAGATCCGGCGGCGTTTTTTTTTTGAGCTCAAGTACCTGGACTGTTGCCGGTAGCTCTGAGTTGGCGGTTCGGATTTTGGGATTTGAACGGGTCCCGTCCGGCTTTTGTAGAGGGCTTTCTGGGATTTGCTCCGTCCGGAAGACCACCGGGGAAGCTGAGATTGGTGGCTGTTTCCGGCGAATCCCGGGGTCCCTCTGTCAAGCTTCAGGGGCCCCTTAGGCCGATTTCTCAGTTACGAAGTCCGAGTTGCCTCGAGATATCCGATCGAACAAGGGGCATCGGCCCCTTCCAAAATGATTTGGCTTCGTTGTCCTTTCGTTGCCCCATCCCAAAAAGGATAAAGTTCGGTTTTTCCTGTTCAAACCCATCCCACAAGTTGGTATCGAGGCTCAAACAAAAGGGAGTTGGAGATGTGGGGTGCGTTGGAGAAGGCTTCCATTTGTTGACTACCCCAAGGTAGACTTCAACCCGATTTCGCCAAAAGGGGAATCCTTGGGTTTAAGTCTACCTAGAGTGTCCATGACCCCTAGAAAAAGGGGTCACAACGCCTTAATTTTGGGTAATGACCAAGCATTTTTTAAAGGGGCGTGGAGAATGCAGGTGCCCTCAAAAACAGACAGACCCGTGTTTGGTGACTACTTCAAGCCTCCGACCGATTTCCACTCGCCAACCGGTTTTCAACAAATAGATGACCGCTGTCGTCGATTTTTTGTGGCTTCGCCTCCAGGGCACGAAGACGGTGCCGCCCACCCCGGAGCCTTCCCTGGCGCAGGGCGAGCAGACCCCCGAGGCGGGTCCCGCAAGGTCCCGGAAGGTGCCGGAGGGTGCCGGACGGAAAGCCGTGGCAAAGGCATGGTGGTTGTTGGGAAACATGTTACATTTTTGCTTGTTGTGGTTTAGTGGTTGAAAACTGCACTTAACTGCTAAAAAATGCTTTTTTGCTCCCCTTCCAACGTCAACCAAGAAGGGGGCGAAGGGGTCGGCCAAAAGGCTGAGGGCCTGCTGGACTGTTTGGGGCTGTTTGAGCGCAGGGAGAACCAGAGTAAGCAGGCTGGTTCTGTTCACGGTGTTTGTCTGTCGGAAGTGAAGATTTGGAGGACCATGCTTTTTGGAGGCCCCTGAACTGAAAAGCATTTTGATGTTCATCAGAACCAAAATCCGAGTCCCCCTAAATATTATTTGATCCCAACTAAATGACCAGTTTTTTCCCTCGGAGAGAATTCGCAGTTGACATTGGACAGGGACGCTTAGGTGAACATGTCGGGGTGTTCTCAAAATTGCGTATTAAGGTGGCTTCCCCTTTGAGGATGTCTTACACGGACGTGGCAAAATCCGAGTCCTTCAAGAACTTGGGACTTCACCTCAAATTGACTTCAGTGGTCTTTGATTTGTGGTCGCTTGTCTTGCTGGTGCTCAGGGAATGACCTTCCGGGTGTTGGGAATGAACCGGAAGGGAATGCCCTGCAAGGAAACCTTAGAAGGTTTGTAGGGTCAGCCCAGAAGCGTGAGTTATTTTTCCTCTGCAAATCCTTTGGGCAACAGGGATTTTTTTCAGGTGGGTTTGTCTCTAGCAACAAACGCGTGCCGAGTATGTTGCACCGGTTGGAAACAGGTCCCCCACTTTCAACCCGTGCAGTTAACCACATTTTTCGGCGTTTTGGTTGGACGTGTTTGCTCTTTGTCATTTGCGCGCAAATACCCTGTATTGCCACCAACCAACATGGACATGCATAGGGCATAGACCCAAATGCCAGGCAACATCTTTGTTTTTCGAAGTCAACAAAGCCCTTTTTGCAAACATATGTTCTGTACCTAGGAAGTCCACAACCCCATTTCACTACAAAAGGACACCTAAAAGGGTAGTGCAGGTGTTTCCCATCAACAGCCCACTTTTTTTTTCTTCTTTTTTTCCCCTGGTCTTTGCAAGCTTGGAGGTACGCCAACTAAAAACTGCGGGGCATTCGTTGCTGGGAGGGTATGTCTGCTCCCCCTCCCTTCGACTTCGACCACCTGCCCCCGACGGCAAACAAACATGGACTCCGCAATGGGTCTCCGAAATGGGAGCCTTAGGGAACGGCTACCGGCTTTCCTGGGACCATCGTGGCGAGCGGGACTCCATACTTGGGTGGTCGGACAAGTTAGCAAGCTCTGCCTAACCCGCTGTTTTATAACCCCTGCACTTGTAAGTCCCCTACGCGGGGGTGAACCCTGTTCCTAGTTACCCCAAGCGGCTAACCACTTACGAACCTGGCAACGAACATCGGCTGTTGGGGTTCCGAGACCGGGAGCCCTGAAGCGGGACCTTCTCCCCCCCTTGGTCCATTGGTGGGACTCCTCCGACGGCTGGGCTGAGGGCTACGCCCGCAACTGCTGGCCCGACAACTGCGGCCCGGGCCGCGGGCCGTGGGAGGACCGGGTCTCCGCGACGCCGGCCGGGGTCTGGGAGCGGTACCACGAGTATGTGGCGCCTCGGAACTGGCGGGAGGGGCTGAGACTGGGATGGGTGTTTTCTTTGGGGGCAAGGGAAGACATGTGTTTTTGTTGGCGTTTTTCGTGGAGGTGGGGCAAAAGAAAAACGTAGACCAATGCCGCAAGCTGTGATTCAGGTGATCCCCTACATGTTCGAGTCCGGCCTGGACGACGCGAGGAAGCAGGCCTTCCGGGTGGCAGTGAAGCGGTGGCACCGCCAGACCTGCATCGTGCTGCAGGAGAAGGCGGAGGCGAGACCGCGAGACCGCGAGACCGCGAGACCGCGAGACCGCGAGACCGCGGTTCCTGAGTTGGAAAGGCCAGCGGGTTCTGTTTGTGGCTGGTGTGGTCTTTGTTGGTGGTTGTTGATGGTTTTGGTGGTTTGGTGGTTTAGTACTAGTTGGGGGGGGGATTCCAATGACAACGATATTTCAATTTGTGGCTCAAACATCACCTTTCATCACCTTTTTGGCCCATAGGTGACGACCAGGAGCACGGGAAACCAAGCAGCAGGGGATTACCAAGCACCACTTGATGGCGAGGATCCATAGATCTGATGTTTTGAGGGGTAATTCCCTCAACTGCCGGTTGCGGGGTGGGCGGTTTGAGGGGGAGGGGTTCCCTGGAAAAAAGAACACAACCGGTGCGGAGGTCAATTTTGAGGATTACTAGCTGGTGCTTGGCAAAAAGCCAAGGAGCTACCAGGAGTTCTGTGAGGATATGGTAGTTTAGGGTTTCCTGGACAAACCCTTGAGCGAATAACTCTACTGTGGATGGACAAAATCCATTTCACACCACCTAAGAAACCTGGAATGAATCGATTCCTCTGCAAATACCAACAGTTTTAATGGTTTCAATCATGGTTTCAAACGGTGCAAACGGATGTCGTGCATCCACAAAAGCTGTGGCCAAAGAACATGGCGACACTTTTTCAAGGCGCACTCTGATTCGCCCAACGGGCGTGAAGCAAAAAATACTACGGGACCAAACTGGTGCGGACTGGTTTCCGCCCATCCACAGTGATCTTCGCTGTCTCCCTTTTACCCGCCCGTTTTTAATGCTCGAGTTAGATGATGTGTATTTTAAGGTGTGGAACATTGTGCTTGGTTGTTTTTTCGGGGCGCTTGGTAGCGTTTGGGGATTTGTCCACGGGACCAACAAACAGCTGGTCGACCAGGGCAAAAGGTGCAAGAGGCTCGAGCAATTGACTCCGAAACGATACCCCAATTTGGGTGTGTTTGTTAACCCCCAAAAGGGGGGGGGTACTTGTGGGAAAGGAAGAACCAACCAAAGAAAGAGTCTCAAAGAAAGACACACCCAAGCAGGGTTGTGGGATCAAGGGGTTTATCCCCACTTCTGTGATACAAGGGAATCTCCCTCTTGGTATGGGGGTTAGTCTTTGGGAAGCCCTTTCTGTTGTATCACAGAAGTGGATTCCATTTCCCACAGCCCTGCACCCAAGTGAGTTGGTTGTCTACACAGTTTCGTGGTTTCAACGGCGGAGAAATGGTTTCCCTGGAGTTGATGTAGCCATGAAATTCAATGGGGAACCACCTGCAAAGTGGTTACTGGACATGCTTTTTCATGTCCATCGAAGGGTCCCACATTATTTTCCACGCCCATATGGGCGAATCGGGGTCTGGAAAGGGTGTGCCCTCAAAAAGTGTCACACGTGCTTTGGCCACAGCTGCTTTGCCCCTCAATAAAAAAATATATGTGTTGTTTTCTTCTTCTTTTTTTGGTCCATAGCTAGCGAACCTGGAACGAGAGAGAGAGAGAGAGATAGAGAGAGAGAGAGAGCAAGAGAGAGAGAGAGAGAGAGAGACAGAGAGAGCGAGAGAGAGAGAGAGAGAGAGAGAGGGAGGGAGGGAGGGAGGGAGGCAGGGAGAGAGGGAGAGAGAGAGGGAGAGACCCTCTCTTTGACCGTGGCTTTGATGGTAATACATCCTTTCAAAGTCATAGGTTGACATCATACCCTTAGCAAGTGGGTAAGCCCAGCAGCGGGTGGGACATTGCAATCTTCCTGCTACCCTTGCAGCGATGCTTTGCGAAAGGAGATTGACCTTCTTTGTCCGTTTGGTTGGGTTCATCGTGTAATGGAACCTTGAAGGATATTTACATATGCTACGTACCAATCTACTTTATTCAACATCTGAAGCCATGTTAAATCGATATGGGTTTGGGTCAAAAATAGGTACTGAAATCTTGCCAAATGGAAACCAGGAGTAAAACCTGCGGTCCAATTCCTGGTGGTTTAAGTCTCACCCATAGACGCACAATCTAATCGATATATCTGTCGTATCTGAAAATAGGCTAGAATAGGGTGATTCCCCAGGCGCAATCACAGGGTGTAATAGAACACCCCATATATATATAATCCATATAATATATATTTTTGACACAGAATCAAATCCATAAATCTAATCTCTATTTCTTTTGATTTTCCTGGTACACCCTGGGACTACACCCTGGTGAAATTACCCAACATAATCCCCAATAAACAAACATAGCCAGGTTGTATCTGGACATAGGTGCTTCCCCAGGCGCAATCCCAGGGTGTAATAGGAACATGTTAAATTGGAAGCAACTGCAGCCTGTTTACCTGAAGTGATGAACCTATGTGTGAAGCGAAGCGCTGTTGTTTTCCGCAGGGCAATGATGTAGTGCCAGCTGTAGCTGTACTGAGGCAGGCTCAAGGCCTTGAATGTACACGGCAGCATCCAGCACGTATTGGGATGCATGCATCTTAGCGCGCCTCCTCAAGATAATGTCGTATACATTCTCCTGAAATGTTGAAACATGGATGTAGCCGCTGTACAATACCAAGCTACTTGTGTCGTGGTGTCAAAAGCCAATGTAAAACCACTGCTGTTTCGCCTGATTGTACCAATCATTTGTTTGGTTATTGGTGTCGAAATTGCCAGTGTCGCAGTTGTAGAACGCCACTCTGCATTGTTTAGCCATGTGTCCTGGCTGCCCGCATCTGTAGCAAACATTTGTTGTGTGTTTTCCTTTTGCTCCTTTTCCTCCTTGTTGGTTGTTGTAGTATCCCTTGCCTTTTCGCTTGTTGCTGTATCCTTTTCCTTTGCCATATCGTTGTTGTGCTTTGAACGGATTTCCTTGTCCAGCCGGTTGATTGTACTGCTTGCCTTTTCCTCCTTTGAGATTGTTGTAGTGGTAGTTGGTCCCGTATTGCCTTTGTTGTACTTTCCTTTGCCCTTGACCATGATGTTCACGCATTTCTCGGCCTCTTGCCAGAAGCTGCCGTAACCTCGTCCATGTTGGTTGCTGCTGAGATGAGCTCCTCGCGGTACTTGTTTACCTGGCTGATGAGGTGAAAAACCTGATTCTGCATGTAGCACCAGGTATGATGATCCCGGATTCGCTCCATGTCCCTGACACTTGTGTCTGTAGACATCTTGCCTGATGTCTGCAGATGGTAGGACGGCATTGTGGTGATCTGGGCTGATGCACTTGCGGATCTGTAGACCCGAGTACTCCATCACCTGTGTCGTGGCTGCATGGATTGTGTCATCGCTTGTTGCAGCCTGTGGGTCGCCCAGGCTGACGATGGCGTTGTAATCCTAGGCAAAACCGTTGGTCCAGGCGTACGTCTTGAAGATGTCGAGGATGTTGTGGTGGCAAATCTCCCAGATGTGAAGCGACTGCTGTTCAAACTCGCCAAAGCGCCACTTCTTCTTGTAGTGGTGCTGTACGTGGAGGATCTGGTAGCTTCTGTGAAAGGCACTCATTTCCTTCTTGCTCAACATGGAGATCATGTCCCTGATGTTCGGCTGAAGGCCGATGATGTACAACTTGCCCAGCTGTGCCGTTCCATCTTGCGCTCGCTGAAGAGAGGCGGCAAGGGCATCAAATGGACTGGTGCTGTAGATCATGTACTCCCAAAATGGCATCCTCATGTTGGCTTGAATTCCACCATTTAGAACTCTTGTGCTCCTCCGCAGCCAAAGCGTGTGCCAAACACTGTTTGTACTTGTGGTCTTGTTGATGTGCCCCTCCATGATGTCGTGTACAGTGTACACCCAAGCTTGCAAAATCCCACAGTGTCAGCGATAGCGATGTAAACAATAACTCTTTCTCATCTGATCTAGCAAGAGCGGTCAAGGCCTGCATGCCCATGGTCCGATGTATCAGGAAGAATGTACCTCACTGACGCAAAAGGTAAAAGGCTGCGCCGTGTGTCCAGGTTCGACATGTATCATGTAAGAAATCTACTGTAAGAGGGGGTGGTAGCACTCCCAGAAAATATGTACCATGGCACCGGATTTCCTAAGTGAAACTTAGTTGGAGCGCTATCACTTTAGTTGTAGAGAAGAAAGTGACCTGTGCAACTGTTGCTTAACATACTGTGCACACTGAAACTGGTTGTGATGGCCTCACATGCCAACTGCATACATGTGTGATGATTTTGCTCTTGACAAGTTGTTGTATGAAGAGGTGTCGCAGCTCAATGTGCTTTGCTTTCTTTGATGTACTTTCTCTCATTGTGATTGATTTAGCTGCGCTGCTGTCTCTGTCGTGGTGTTGGTGCGTACTTCGAATGCTGAGGCTCTCCTGTGCTGCTGTGCCAAGCGCACACAGTTCTGACTCTGCTGATGAAAGTGCTATTGTTGCTTGTGCTCCGTTTCCATCGTGTATCGCTGTGTATCACAAATCCTGTTGTGCTCTTTCTTGTTGGCTCGCAGTGTCGTATGTACCTTGTGCCTTTCAGGACCTTACCATGCTAGTTCTTTTGCTCCATACCTGATTTCTGGTCTGGTGTATGCCAACGGTTCCTGGTCGGTCGAGTGGCGCTTCATCTTCTGCTGTGCCTTTCATGTGTGACACTCCTGGTGATGGTGCTGGGTTGCGTGTAGTCATTCCTGATTCTTGCAGGATGATGTCAACGTAGTTGTTGTCTTGCTGATGTCGGTGTAGTTACCTTTGTGCAACAGAAAGCAATTTCTACAGATCAAAAGACTGCTTAGTTACCTTTGTGCAACAGAAAGCAATTTCTACAGATCAAAAGACTGCTTAGTCTACGTCATGATCTGCGTAGGCGATCTCCTACTCATAGGAGTACAAAGCATCATCAACAAACTGCTCAGCAGAATACAGAAAGAAGTACTGCTGAGACACACATTGCTCTGGTGATGATCTTAAGCCATAGATGGCCGTGTTCAGCCGCCACATGATGTGTCTACTGCTTGCTTCATTGTAGAACTCTTGTTGTGGTCTCATTACCAAATGCCATTGTGAGAAGTACTGTCAGTGTGCAAAACAATGGTGTACTTGCAAAGAGTAGGTCGTGGTCTGTAGCGGTTTCTGTGTTGCTACAATTCGTGCTCGTACTTCATTGCGCTTTGCTTGAGAACCCACTTGGTTCGATGATGTTTGCTTGTTGTTACGGTGTGATTGTGCCATCAATTTCTGTGAAGACCGATTGGTCTTTCATTTGTTGTACTTCTTTCTTCATGCCTGGTGACACGAGCTGTGGGCCCACGCCTTCTGTGTCATGTATGCCTGGCTCTAGTAGGATCCTTTCGTTTTTAGTCTCTTGTATGTCCTTGTTGGATGCAGTTGTCTGCCATTTTTTAGTGTTGTAAATTTGATGGCATTGATACTCATTTTGCCTTTTGGTAGTTGTTGTTGTAGGTCGCTCCAGTGCTTGTCTTGTTGCTGTGGCACGTTGTTCGTGTGCTGCCGTCTGCAATTGTGTCATCTCTTTCTCTTGTAGTGGTGCTGGCAATGCTGCTTTTTTGGTGATGTGTTGGTGTTGTAGCCATTGGTGAGGTTGGCTCAGCTGTCTTCTTCGGTTTTGCTTGCTGTTCACTCTGTTGTGCTGTGCTGCATCCGTCTGTTGTGTGGATGCCTTGCCTGTTGCTGCCATTGTCACTACTGGTGTTGTGAGTGTCGGTGTTGGCAGTGCTGATGCTGGTGTCTTCCATGGACCTGTGTACTTGTGAGGAATTATCTGCCTTCTGAGATCCTTGTTCTGACAACCCTATGATGGCGATGATGGATGCCAAGCCAGACCCCCTGTAAAGAATCTTGACTTGAGCTTTGGAAACTGTTTGCTTGTAGGCTGCCAAACGCGCAAAATGGTGTGTGTGTGTGTTTTGCTCTCCGTTCCATCTGTTGAAGTAGCCTGTGCATCCATTGCTGCGAACTACCCAAGGCATGAGTGGATGTCCCATTGGGATTTCCGTGATGTAGGTATGCTTGATCTGTGCCTTATTGTGCAAACAATGTTCTGTGTGCTCGTTCTACTCTGTCTTGTGATTGTGAACTGTATCTCGTGGTGATGTTGCCACTGCAACTGTCGTGATCAACGTTGTCAGATTGTCCTCCTGATCTGACTGTAGTATGGTGTGTGATGTTCTGCCACACTCATTGAGGAAGCTCTGTAGTTGTGTTGTTGAAATTACCAAGCACAATCCCCAATAAACCAACGTAACCAGGTTGTATCTGGAAATAGGGTAGAATAGGGTGATTCAGGCGCAGTCGCAGGGTGTAGTAGGAACACCCAGATATATGCAATCAATAAAACCCATATAATCTTTAAATATATTTTTTTTTTTTTTTTTTTTTTTTTTTTTTTTTTTAAGTTTCTTTTATATTCTTTTGCCCATGTATCCAATGCCTATTTCTTTTGATTTCCTATCACACCCACCTTGGACTCCCTTGTGAAATTACCCAGCGTGACCCACAACAAACCAACATACCCAGGTTGGCCAGAAAATGGCGACGCAATCCTAGGCTGTAATAGGAACTACTTTTAGTGTGTGTATCTTTGACATATCATTTAATCTCTATTAATTACCCAACATAATCCACTACTAAACCAACATAACCTGGTAGTATCTGGAAATACGCTAGAATAGGGTTATTCAGGCGCAATCCCAGGGTGTAACAGGAACACCCCAAATATATTTATATATACACACATAAATGCACATGTATATAGTCCAGATAATTCCTACAATATGTATATTTGACATATTACCTATTCCGTATGTCTAATCTCTATTTCATTTGATGTTCCTATTACACCTTGGTGAAAATACCCAACATAACCCACAATAAGCCAACAAAACCCAGATTCAGGCCCACTCCCAAAATAGGAGCACCCCATATATACATAATCCATATTTACATAATATAAGTTTTATATATCTAATCTCTATTTCAGTTGACTTTCCTATTACACCCCGGGGCTACACCCTGGTGAAATTCCAAAAATAATCTCCAATAAACCACGTAACCAGGTTGTGTCTGATCTGGAAGTAGGCTAGAATAGGGTGATTTAGGTGCAATCCCAGTGTAATAGGAACACCCCTTGTATACATATATTTGTATAATCCACACAATCCATATAATCCATATA